TGGGGTCCGGTTGGCGTTAGCGATGGGTCTGCCTTCGCCATGGTTAATCGAACGGCTCACATTTAACATTTTAAAATTATATTTTTACTTCTACTTCATAAAATTATAAAAGTTTTTAATTTTTAATCTAGACCATCTAAATTAAATATAAACTATCTAAATGAAAAAAAATATGACTTAAAAATTCAAAAAGCAATGAGATTATTCAAATAAATGAGACAAATATACTTATCAAACCTTTTTCTCTTTTTGAATTGGTTTTAGGGAGAATAATAAAAAGGTTTCAATGAGATTTATTAATTTAACTTAAATTTCAAATCTCAAACTTTAAAATTTGTAAGTTTGTTATAATGAATTTATAATTTGTTCTTCAAATTTTAATATAGTTGAAGTATAAATAAATTTATTTTTTTGTTAAATTTTAGAACACAAGTTTAAATTTATGACAATAAAATTATAAAATTGAGAATTAAATTTATACATTTTTAAAGTTTGAAATTTAAAATTTAAGTTAAATTAATTGATCCCTTTAAAAACTTTCTGTCATTCCTCCTTGATTTTATGATGACATTAATAAATATAAATTGAAAATATTGGATGTTATTATATGGAAGTTAGGGCTTATATCTTGTATACTGTATATTAACAAAACTCTATTTTTTAAAAAATAATTTTTATTGCTTTCAGAATAATTTTCAATTTAATCAGATAAAAAATGAATTACTTTTCCACCCATGAAAAAAATTAGTTAATCAGTTTGATTTCTTAAAGTTAAAGGAATGACAGAAGTGTTTGAATAATTTGTTTCACTAAATTTTTGGAGGCGTACTATTATTTGACGATAAATATTCTCACTTCCCATGGCTGGAAATTTTAAGGACATATATTTGTTAGTAAGACTTAAATCCTCTAAAATTCATTTTTTATGAAGTTTTTCTTTTTAGTAGCATCATAAAACATGCCAATTCAGATTATTTAAATATAATAAGTATATAATGTGCTTAGGAATACAATGAAAATGGTTATATAATTTTTTTATTATTGTTTCTCGAAATAAGTAAATTTATAAATTAGAAGAAAGTGCTCTTCTTTTATTATTCATTAGTAATATTTTTTCAATCCATAATGTGATTATTCTTTTTTTTTTTTCAACTTGGATGCATTTTCATGAAGTTAAAACTAGTTCAAAAGAGTTGCTTCCTTTTTATTTATAAGATAACTTCTAGAAATAATTTTTAATCTAAAATATAGGACACCTTAATATTTAAACAAATTTTTTTAATTTTACCCATTCTTAACTAATGTAAAACTATTTAATGTAATTATATTATTATTAAAAATCAAAGGTAAAAAAGAGTCTATCTAATTTTTTATTTTATCAAAAAAAATTATTTTTTCTTAAAATGCCTAAAACAGTTTGAAAATATTTTAAAATAAAAATCGAAAGTAGTAACCTTCCCCGACTCTATTTTTATTTTGAAAAATCAATCTTGAGGTGATCAAGACGTTACATTCACCTACAAGCATCATGCAATTGCATAATTTTGTCATATTTACAATATACCCCAAATATATATTAGGGAGAATAACAATTAAAGACCTTCTAAAAATATTAATTCCAACTACGGATCATGAAATTTTAAAATCTCAGTTAAGGACTATAGTTTTTAATTATGATAAAAAAATGTAGTTTGTGAGGTGAAATTCACTATTGTCACTTAAAAATTTACTAACCTAACTTAAGAAAATTTGTAATGTATATTGTGAAAATATGAAATCTCACTTAGAAATCAATTGTTTAACAAAAAGCGTCATTTAAAAATTTACTAACTCAACTTGAAAAAATTTCTAACGTATATCATGAAAACATGAAACTCCACTTAGGAATTGATTGTTTAATAAAAAACACTAATTTGGATAAGTCACTTTTTATTAAATAATTGATTCTCAAGTAAGGTTTCAGTTTTTCACAATATACGTTAAAAATTTTTTTAAGTCTAGTTAGTGACTTTTTAAGTGACACTTTTTGTTAAACATTCGATTCTCAAGTAGAGTTTCATATTTTCACAATATACATTAGAAATTTTTTCAAATTGGGTTAGTGAATTTTCAAGTGAGGTTTTTTTTAATAATCCTTTTCCAAGTAGAGTTTAATGTTTTCACAATATATGTTAGTAATTTTCTCAAGTTGGGTTAGTGAATCCTCAAGTCCCGTTAATGAATCCCACATCACAAATTACATTTTTTTTATCACAGTTAACGATCATGGTCCTTAACTGAGATTTTAAAATGTTATGGTCCAGAATTAAGATTAATATTTTTAGAAAGTCATTAATTGCCATTCTCCCTATATAATACTTCACATGAAATTTTCTCTCAAGCATTACTTTAAAATAAATAAAAATATATATATATATATATATATATTTGGGATATATATATATATATATATATATCAAATTGTAAAATATAACCACAGTTGAAGTTCAGAACAGTAAGAGAGCGTCAAACAGATTGAAGAGGTCAAATGTAGTTCTTTGGCGCGTATGCTTTCACCAACAGCTTTATGTGATTCAAGAAGTCTTCAGCCACTTCTCAAAACCCAGAACTAGAAGGAATCATAGTCCTACGGTGTAATTATAATTTTTAAGATATTTGGTAAAGAATATCTGATAAGTGCATATTTTATAATTAAATAGGTATAGATTTTAATTTGAATTTGATTATATTTATTAAGATTTTATATCTATTTAATTGATATTTATATATTTTTCCCTCATCACTTAATTATAAGATAAAAAAGAATTTTAATACAAAATCCACTCATATCTTTTTATCTTTATATTTTGCAGAGAAAAAGAATAAACCAAATAGAAAGAAAAGAGAAATATATATATATATATATATATATTAGAGTCTCACATCGACAAAGAACAAAAGAAGGAGCCTTCACTTTAACTATAAATACTCCCTCCATTAAGAGGGAAGACATCCAATCACTTATCTAAGTACCTCAAGAATTCTCTCTGAGATATTTGGAACTCGTAGAAGCATTTTGAAGGCTGAAAGCGAGATCATTGAGGGGTTTCACAAATTATAATTATTTCTTTTATACTCTTTAATTTTCTCTGTGATCATTTTTCATGATTGAGGATTTTAAAATGGTTTTATTTAATTTTATTATGTGTTTCTAAATTACCCAGTTGGGATAAGGATGTAGCCCAATTGGGGAGCTAGTTTTCTATTTTCTTTGTTTTGACTCCTTGCATTTATATTTATGAATATTTTTTGCTTTTTTCAATTATATTTATTTCTCTTGTTCTTCATATTGATTTAATGACTGGCCACCATTTAATCAAGTCTATGGGTAATCTTGATGGACTAGGAGGTGAAGAGAGAACCTAGATTTAAAGAAATAAACATAAATAACTAGGCTAGGGATAGTTTTAGAAATTTATGGTGACTTAAACCATAGCTTCACGGTTTAATTAGTTGTTTAAGTATCGTGGGAACAAATTCAACACTAATTAAAAAGGGACAAATAATTCGAAAGAATATTAGGACACTTTTGGAATAGTTGTCACTATAATTGATCCAAATCAACTTAAAGGGTAGAAACTAGCAACTTATAGGATGAATCCTAAATCCCAACGCTTCAAATGATTGCGTTTTTATCATCATTATTTTCTTGATTTATTTTTATTCCTTATATTTTTATCAAAATTATCTATTTTATCTATTTTTCTTGAACTATTAATTATTTAAATTAGTAAAAGTGTAACTTTCTTGTGGGTTTGACACTTGAAATATTTTCGATAATTTATTACTGTGATCTTGTACACTTGGGAGAGCGATCAATATCATTCACATGCAGATAAGTAGAGAGTTGGGAATCTCTCATACTAAAAATGTTAGCAAATACCATGGGATTTTGATTCTTCATGAGAGGGCATCTAAATTAACTTTGGTAGCGTCTTTTCACTCGCTTACATTTAAATATTTGAAAGGAAAGATGTAAAATAATTTATTTTGAAGAAGACTTTTTTATTAAAAATATCACATTCTCTTGTATCCAAAATATAATCAATGACATGAACTTTCAATTAAGACTTAGTGTTCACCAAATCATGGATGGATTAAACTAAGTGTTGATAGTTCAATTGGCACAAACAGTATTGCCCCTTGTGTTGGGCTCATTTTGGGATAGTCAAGAAAATTGAATTAAGGTTTTTATAAATATCTCAATTATTATCTCAATGCAGATGCTGAGCTTTTTGGCTATTATTGGAAGCTGTATTCTTTATTCAAATAACAAATTCACCAACTTCACTTGAACTTCCTAGAAGCTCTTTTATTTATTCAACATGTCAGAATCATCCTCTTTTTAAATCCATCAACAATATCAAGAACATTATTATTGGATACTGGATGACAACTTTAATCATAATTTAAGAAAAGCAAACAATTGCACAAACTAGGTTGCTTGTCAGGCTTTGAGCTGGAATTTAGACCCTACAATTAGTGTCAATCTATTTCCTAGCTGTAGAAATCTTTTAACATAACTTAGTTGTCGTCTTATGCAGAGTTAACCATGACCTTGTTATTTTCACAAAAACAAGAAGAATATCATTCACTCTTGACCCCCTAAGAGTAATTCTTCTGTATCTACCATACTCCCTACATCTCAGAATACGTCTTTTAAAATTTTGATTTTTGACATATAAATAAGAAATGCAATCAATATATTGAAATATTATTAAAAGATTGATTGTAATGTTAAATTTGCCCTTAATTTAATGCATAAACTTGCGAGACCAGAGAACTAAGTAATGTGGCCCACGCAAGTTGAAGACTGAAGATGTTGAGTGTCTTTTCCTAATCCAATAACTTAAACCCGGTTGGTTAAAAAAATCCTTGCGAGAAAACTTACCAATGAATTCAACAATTACCAAACGGTCTTTAATTTTGAGCAAAGGACGAAAAACAGCACGACAGTAAAGTAAATATAAATTTGTTCATTCCTACCCTAAAATCATAAATATATAAGATCAGATCCAATAGAATCATCAAAATACAAAAAAGCTTCAACCAAGTGACAATGTTCTAAGATTTTCAAAACAAAATCAGCTAATCAAGAAGCCGACGGAACGTTTCTACCAGAAACACATTACATAAACAAGTTAGGCTTTTTGGCCTTGTATGTGGTTTTAAGCTTCCTGGTGGGTGGCCTGACTTTCCTGTAAACCAATGGGAACTTGATTTTTGAGTTGTGGAATTGCTTGGTGCTTTCCCTCTTACAAAGCTTAGCCGGGATGGTGGCCGTCTTGATTATCTGAATGCACGGGAACCGGACCCGGTGACGGGAAGCCATCTCATTGTACATCTGCTCCACTGCACCGTTTAGAGTGGTGTCGCGGTACTCTTTGTACATGTTGTGATAGCCAGTCCTACTCTGATAACGCAACCAGATGCCATAGTTCTTGATCTTGGTTGGGTTCTTCTCAAAAATCTGTGAAATAATACAGATTATGCAACGCCAGAATCAAAAACACACTCAAAACAAGCTCATTCCATATTGATACAACCATAAGCCCCAGATATGATAGTAGAAGTTCTAAAGAAAATATCACTGCGCCTGAAAACCGTAGGATTAAACTTTTGAATCGGGAAAAAAGAGATCCGTGTAGCATAATCCTCCAGCATCCATAACACATCTAAGCTAACATGAAGCATCTATAGGTAAAATGCAACAAAATGCATGTTCCACCAGGTAGTGATTTAATAATGACATCATTATTTCATTAGCTCATGATAATCATAAAGAAAAGATGTTTTCCTACCAATGAATTTTTCACCAATGATCAAACACTCTCCACTGATATTGATAATGCATCCAATAATTTCTAAAGCTCCTGAAAATAGTAACGGGAACAGTCACATTTTCAGATGGCTTGACTCTCAAACCTTCCTTTTGAAATAGGAGATTATTTTCTGATGAAGTTGATTCTCCTCATAGTCTTGTTAACTCTGCTTGTAATTTAGTTTATGCTACTGTTAAAGCACATGATATTGTCAGTTCCATTGATCATGAGGCTTGATCTTTTTATTTCCCAGCTTTTGTAACCAGTACATATTCGTTCAATGATATTCCATTTTCACCAAAGAAAAGGGAGAAAAAAGAGAGTCACTAAATAGCTTTTTCAGGAAAAAGGGATGCGCCACAAGTTTAATGATTCACTCGCAGATTCACCAATATCCTAGGGGCGATGTATCTTAGACACAGGTCAACTGTCAGAACATTAAAGGCCTCCACACCAAAAGCTTTCTGACAAGATTAACTCAGAACTGGTGAATCATTTTATAGATTTAAAATTAAATTGTTGCTGGAATGAGGATTCAACAAATAAGTTCTACAATGCAATAATCGATACTGTTTAATAGTTTGGCCAATGTTGCCGAACATGAATTCAGCACGGGAGGTCATAATAGCAATACTCAAGAACACAGCACAATGAGAAATTCCCAGGATTTTGACATGTCTTTAAGATTCTTAAGTTGTGTTTCAAATTCGCACACAGAAAACATTATTGTCAGAATCAGAATGTAGCAGACATGAAACGCTAAATAAACATGCGCAAAAGTAAAAAATGCACCTCATTGATAGCAAGCACTTGACCATTGCTCTTCTTAACCTTCTTCAGTTTCCTCAAAAAGTACCTAAATCAAAGCAATCAGCCAAATTAAGACATACTCCAAGCCTCGGCCTCTGGGGACGAAAGAAACTGGACTACTAGCTCGAATAAAACTTTCCTCCAGCTAAAAGACCTCAAGAATAGTACAAGCTAAAATTTCCAGTCAAGACTATATAGTGATAAAAAGAAATCAGTTTACCAGAACTTCGACTTGGCGCGAACCTCGTTCGTGGCCCAGAGTTTCATGCGGTAAATCTTGGGATGTTCATCTGATTCCGTGGGCAGGGCCCTCCCAACGACCTGGTACTGATGAAACTGCGAGAGCAACCAGAGAAACGTCAAATCAGCTGGGAAAAAAATGCCATTTATTTGGTTGAAATGAAAACGGAGGAATCTACTAGAAAATTGAATAGTCCGCTCAAAAACCAGATCAAAAACTTAAACAAATAAGCATAAAAATATACTATCAGCTTTCAGTAACGCAAATTAATAGAAGGAGATGGAACCTAAGAAACGAATTTCAGTCCCAACTGATTATGAAACCAATGCATTGATTTAAGACGCAAGATAAAAAACTCACTCTGAATGCCACCATTTTTGGGAGAAAATCAACACAGGAAGGATTCTGATGCCTCTCTCTCTCCCTCTCTCCCTCTGCCCCCGCCGTCTGAGGGTAGGGTTTTGGTTTTCAGTTATATATGATGATATGATGAGCGAAACCTAGATCGGGATTAAGATTTCCGCTGTGGCCAGGCTTATGACGATAAGATGTTCCTTCTTCTTTTGGGCCTATCAGATTTTTGTCCACAAAGCCTGTGGCATTAAAAAATTTTCATCTATTGGGCCTACAGATCCAGAAAACATTCAAAGTCCATGTCCTAGTCTTAATATTTTGTCCAGATGATGGTCAATATTTTTCCTCGTTCGGTCACTGAAAAAAAATAAATAAATAAGACTCTTGGCTTTTAAAAATTCTATACATTGTTTATAAAAACTATTTTTTATGTACCTTTTTTCGTCTTTTTTATTCCATAAAAAAGTATGAATTTAATATAAATTCATTGAAAAATTGCACCAGAAAAAATATAATATATTTTCTAAATCAAAACTTTTGTGCTGACATAGATATATATTAGTTAAAAATATTGGACACTATTGTATGAGAGTTTTCTTTCTCTCTCCAACATTATTCTATGAGAGTTAGAGCTCATCTCTTGTATAGTAACAAAGCCCTGTTTTTTAAATAATGTTATTGCTTTTAGAATAATTTTAAATTGATAAAAAAATCTAAGTACTTTGCTACCCAAAAAAAAATAGTTCATCAGTTTGATTTCCGAGAGTCCAGGAGCATAATAAATTTGTTTGAATCTTTCTTCACTAAACTTTTTGAGGTATTTTGTACGTAAATTTAAGGGAGAATGACAGATAAAGACATTGTAAGAGCATTAATATTAAATTAAAATTTTTTAATATTGATATTTTCAAATTTTAATACTCTTTCTATCATATTTTAATATTGAAGTTCATAATTTGACGTTAATATTTTTACAAAGTTCTTATTTGTCATTCTCCCTAAATTTATTTAAAGGTAAATAATATCATTTCTTATAACTGAAACTTTTGAGGACCGGTTTTTTTTTTTGGCAGGATAGTGAAAGATACCAATTCAGATTTTTTATATTTAAATATAAATATATAATGCATTTAAAAATATAGTAGAAATGATTATATATAAATTTGGGTTAATGACCAAAATAAATCCTACAATATTGTTTAAAAATCATTTTTAATATTAAATTCTTAAAATGTACAAAATAAACTTTAAATTTTTAAATTTGCAGCAAAATAAACCTTGACGGTTAAATTTTTTAACACTTTTAATGTTCACTCGATACTGTTCACCATGAGACTCAATTAATATTGATGTGTTATTGCAAATTAGCACCACAGACCCTAAACTATTATGTTAGTAGCATTTTGAATATTAAACTTTAAAATTTTGAGTAAATTACCCCCACCATTTATGCATAGAATGTTGATTATCATGAAGATCAAATTAGTCTCAGATGGTTTACCGCAGTGAATACATCGTTGACCATGCAAATGACTTATAATTTTATGAAACAATGTTTTTTGCCCTCCTTTTTTGCAATATTTTTCAAATGATCGATATCTCATACTTTCATATACTCTATAATTGTAATTTAGTCTTATTTTAAATAATATTTATTTATTTAATGATAAAATTTTGGGATCCCATTTAAAAAAAATTAAGTATCATAGGATTTTACAAACAATGAATGTGAAAGTTGATGATTTCATCGACGAATTTAAAACTCAAATTAATCAGTTAATTAAATCATCTAATATTTAAATTTCTTTCAAATGGAATCTTAAGTTTACACTATTAAATAAAATAATCATTATTCAAAATAATATTAAATTAGAGTTATAGAGTATACAAAAGCATGAGATACTAATTGTTTGAAAAACATTGCAAAAAAAAGAGACAAAAATGTCATTTTATAAAATTATAAGTCATTCATCACGGCTAACGATGCATTTACTACAGCAAACCATGCCGAGGTTAATTTGATCTACATAGTAATTAATATTCTATATATAAATAGTGAGGGTAATTTATTCAAAATTTTAAAATTTTGGGTCTAAAACGCTATTAACATAATAGTCCAGGAGTTCAGAATGCTACTAACATAATAGTTTAGGGTCTATGGCGCTAATTGACAATGACACGTCAGTATTAACTGGGACCTACTGTGAACAGTACTTGATTGAATAGTAATGGTGCTAAAAAATTTAACGATTAAGGTTCATTTTACTACGAATTTAAAAATTTAGGGTTTATTTAGCACATTTTAAGAATTCAAGATTGAAAGTGCTTTTTAGGCAATATTTCAGGGTTTATTTTGCTCATTAATTTTATAAATTTTCAACAAAGGCACTTATTTAAGATTAAAAAATAAGTAATTTTAGATAGCTTAGATATTTTATCAAAAGAAATTTATTTTATAAGGATTTTATAAAAATCATATATTATTTTATGATTGGATATAATAATAAAAAATTATTATCATGTAGTTATTTTTTAGATTTTAAATTTTTGTAGATATTTATTATTAAAATAAGTTATTATTTATTTATTTTAAAATTTTGTAATATATTTATGTATCTGGACATTTTTGTGGCAGCTTCCTTTATCTATCAAGGTTATTCAAATTTAAAGTAGCTTTCCTCCACAATCATATATACATTTTTCTAGATTCACGTTATTTTTAAAATTTTAAATAAATATAATAAAATTTCATAAAATATATTTTTTTCAAAAAAAAATAAGTGATTTTTTATGAGAAAAAACTTAAAACCCATTTTTTTCAACTTATTTTATAAAATATTTATTTAATTATTTAATAAAAAATATATTTTATAATTTTAATAATATTTATTTAAAATTTTAAAAATAATCAAAATTTAAAAAGTGGTCATTACTTTCAAAAGCTACTTTAAATAACTTCTGAAAATAATCTAATGTGGAAGATAGAAATTTTTTTTAAAAAATAAAATATACAAACATATCATAATGTATTAAATAATAAATTATTTTTATAAAACGGAAATTAAATAAGATGTGATGAAATTAAAAATAATTAACTAATAATTAATTTTTATTACTATTATTAAATACAAAACAATGTCTGCTTACTATAAAATCTCTACAAAATAAATATTTTTTATAAAATCTTTAGATTATATAAAAATTATTTATTTTTTAATTTTGAATAAGCAAGCCCTTAAACAATCTGAGCCTATATTTTTCTTTGGGAAATAAGTCTTTTGGTGCCCCCTTAAATCAATCAACCGAAAATGCCATGTTCACGTACAGGTATTTTGTAATTGCCTTTTTTTTTTTTCGCGGATATGTAATTGCATGCTCAGTTCCATAATTTTGTCATATTTACAATATTCCCTGATTTTTTGAAAAAAAAAAAAAAAGCATTTACGATATGTCGCAGATGCACAGTAAGCTTTGTCACCTTTTCAATTAAAACTTGATCACGGTTTGCTCAAGCAGGGTAAGGAAGCATATGAATTATGACAGCATACCTGGGATCAACATCATATAGGCCGCTTTGGATATCTGTAAAAAAAAAAAAAAGGTGATTATGAAAGAAATATTAATATAATTGATTATATTATGTGGTATATAATTGATTTATAAAATTGATTAATAAGATTCATTTCAAGCAGAATTCAAAGGCAAGATTGAAAATCAAGTAAGATATAATGTTGTGAAAATATATCCAAACATTCTATTACATATCAAAATCAATTATAAAATTAAAACCATGATTTTCTTAAAATGTAAGGGTGTGTTTGGATTTCAATTGGATATAATTAATTATAATTAATATGATTGATTTTGAATATAATTGGCTGTGTTATGTGATATATAATTGATTTATAAAATTAATTAATAAAATTGATTTTAATGCCTATTTGGATAACATTTGTAATCAATTTTAGAGATCAAAATCATAGTTCTATGAAAATATATTCTACATGTTAAAATTAGTTATGAATTTAAAATTACGTTTTATCAAAAATATTCAAATACTTATTATGCACATTGAAATCAACTGTGGATTTGAAACTATAGTTTTTTAACAATTCAAATACCACCTATGCATGTCACAATCAATTATGAACCAATAAAAATATAATTTAAATAATTTTTTAATAAATTTTTAGAAATGTATAATTGAAAAATTGAATTAAAAAGTAGATGATAATAACATATAAGATAACTATAATTTTAGATTGATAATTGATTTTGACAGCTATAACAACGTTTGGATATTTTTAAAAAAAAAATTATGATTTTATGTTCATAATTAATTTCAATATATATAATAGGCGTTTCATTTTTTTAAAAAAATATAATTTTAAATCCATAATTTATTTTAATATGTAACAAGATATTTGAATATATTTTATAAAATCATGATTTTACCTAATTTTTAATTTTTTCTTTCAATTTGCTTTTCAATGTTAATTAAAATCAATTGTATGAATCAATTTTATAAATCAATTATACACATAAAATAATCTATTATATTTAAAATTAATTATATTAATTAATTTTTTCATAATTAATTTTTTGTAATGGATATCCAAACGGTCCTTAATTTGAATTGAGAAGCAAAATTGAAAAATATAATTAAAAATAAGGTAAAATAATAATTTTGTAAAAATATATTAAAGTACTCTGTTACATGTTAAAATTAATTATGAATTCAAAATCATATTTTCTTTTAAAAATATCCAAATTCTATTATACGTGCTAAAATAAATTATGAACCCACAACTATTGGTTTTCTTAAAAATACACAAACACTTTTATATATGTTAAAATTAATTATGAATCTAAAACTACAGTTATCTTATTATAAGTTGCTATTACTTGTTTTTCAATTCATACTTTTAATTATATTCTTCTATATTTATCCAAAAACCATATAATTTATATTTCAAATCATATTTTTAGATTTATAACTAATTTATATCTATATATATAAATGTGTTTGGATATTTAAAAGAAAAACATGATCTGGGTTCAAAATTAATGACATACATAATGGATATTTGAATATTTTTTAAAAAATATAGTCTTAGATTTAAAATCAATTTAACATGTAATTGAAGCATTTAAATATATTTTTATAAAACTATGATTTAACCTCTAGAATTGATTATAGAGGTTATTCAAACAGGCACTAATACCTATATACTTAATTTTTATATATTTAATATATTTTTATGCAATCAATTAACACATGTGAATTTTTATATGTTAATAATATAACAAGAAGAATTTGTTATGTACTAAAATAATTTATAAAAAACAATATATCTTAATTTAATTGAAGACAAGTATTTTAAATATATAATACTAAGTGTATAAGCATTTTCCTTTTTTAAAAATACCGAAAAACACCCACTACAGATATCAAAATCAATTTCTTAAAATATAAATTTTTTATATTGTTAAATTAATTATGAATCCAAAACTATATTATCTCATAAGCTACTATTACATATTTTTCAATTCAACATTGTAATTATACTGTTCTAAATTTATCTAAAAATCTTATATACTATTAATAAATCATGTTTTTTACTTCATAATTAATTTAACATGCAAGAAGTATTTCAATATTTTTAAGAAAATCATTATTTTAAATTCCTAATTGATTTTGACTGGTACGATGGATGCTTGGATATTTTTAGAAAAATATAGTTTTGAATTTATAATTGATTTTCATATGTAATAAGGGTGTTTGGATATGTTTTTCACAAATTCATATTTGTACCCTTAAATTAATTATTTATGAAATCCAAACAGGCACATAAATTGTTACAACTTCTTGCTAGAATAGTTAACTGTTTCGGAAACCTTGACATCTGCAAATCTGAAGAAAATGCATTCTTGTAGCCATTTACAACAAAAATAGCAAATTAAAATATAACCATAGGTGAAGTTCAGAAACAGTGTGAAAGCCGTCAAACAGATTGAAGAGGACAACACGTACAATAAGTTCTTTGGCGTGCAGCTTTCACCAATCATGAGCTTTATTTGTAACACCCAGCGTCACAGCTATCACAGCAATGATTGACTGCAAATTAAGAATTAAGAAACATAGGTCAAGTGGGAACATGCAATGATATAGAACTTGCTCCTAACAAGCTAGGATAAATATTGACCTTTCAAAGGGTGCAGATGAGAGAAATATGCAATGGATTTGAGGACCATTTGTTAGATTGTCAAAGAAATAAGTCTGAACATAAATGAAAAACGAAATATAACTTGCAAATTATGATAAACACTTACAGCAACTGTGCATGCAACTAATCCAGGCTTTTCTCGGTAATCCATCTGTACACATAGTAGCACAAGAGTTCCAACATACCAGGGAATGCCACCAAGAAAGAATCCCGTTATAAACCTTGCAATACAAATTAAATTATGGTATCAATACATCTAGTATCCTGGCTGAATAGACAAACTTCTTGAATTCCTAATGTCAAACGCAGCAAAAGAATAATCAGAGACTGTGTTTTTCTCATTAACCTAGATCCCACAAGAGCATTTGAATCCAAATATATTCTGGTCCCTTACAATATGAGTGCTTAGTGCAACTTTAGAAGTTTCGTCTCTTATTTGATGAATGCAAAATCCTCACATGATGATATAAAATTGACTCATTGTTTGAGTTATAAACAATCATTACCAAAAAAAAATCCTTGTATTTCTGAAAGTTTGCATTAGGTTTGTTCTACAGTTTTACTCAATAATCACCATATATGCAGGGCGGATGTCCATTTTCCCCCTACATGCAACAATATTCTTTTAAAATAATAATAAAAATAAAAAATCAGAAAGGAAGAGACAGAAGATAAAAAGGCAGCGGGTAAGCAAGCCCTTAAAAAGAAAGGTACTTCACTAAATGGCTCTCCAATCCAATAAAAAAAGCACCCTTCTGAAACAATTACAACAGCACTTGGCCAAAAAGGACATTTGCATCCCTCAAAAGTGGCAGCATCAGAAATTGGAGTATTTGTCTAGGAACTATAAGTATTAAATAAGCAAACAAACAGAACGAACAGATTTTTCCTTCCTACTGCTCTATAGCTCCTTAATTAGATATTTAGATATGCAAATACAAGTAAACTTTATCACATACCAACATTCATTCCGAATGCAACACTAGAAAACATACATGCAGTGTAGATGGAAGACATCATATAGTTTTATAGCATGGGTGAACCTTAACATTTAATCCTAGATGCCTAAAAAGGAATTAAAGAATGGTTCAATAAAGTGTCCTTGAACTCACAAGAACCAACCCAGACCCAAAGTCCACAACAAGGAAGACGGTGTTCCCTCATGGGCCTTCCTTCAGCAAACAACATAACCTTCAGAGCATCAGAAAATATTATGATGTGAACACAGAAGACAAAAACAAGAAATATTGATAAAAATCTTCCCACGCATCATGTAAGTGATCTCAGATTCAAAGGTGCTTAAAACAATATTCGCATGGTCACAGAAGCATTTAGGAATAGATATTATCATATTCTATAAAACCAAGTTAAATATCATAAAGGTACCAAAGTTCTTTTCCAAATGATATATATTCTAGAGAAACACTAAGCTTCAAACCCAATAGGGAAGAAAGGAATAAACCCCGATTTTAGATAGTTTTACATGGGGTCAGAAATTTATGCATCTCATGAATTTGTCAATAAAGCTTTGAACACAGAAATGTCAAAATGACAAAGGAATGCAAAGCAACAGGAAATAGCACGAATTGTTTTCCACTTTAAAAAGCTCTATAAATGTATCATGAATCTTAACACGT